GTGCTGCTATCTTCATGTTGAGGTCGGAAACTTCTCAGATCACCCTCGTATATGGGATGTTTCTTTCCTGCTTGAGGCTTTTCTCACGAGTTGGAGCTATTACCTGTCAACAATATTTCTCTTAGATGAAGATTTCATACGTGTTTTAGTACAAAGAAAACGAACGTACCTACGATCCTAAACGGACAAACTTTAGAAAATAAAAATAATTCAAAATTCCTAGGAATATTTATTGATGACCAACTGAAATTTTATGTGCATATTAGAGCATTGATAAAAAAACTAGCGGCGGTATGTTATGCTCTTAAGAGTTGTCTCAAATGAACTGAGCAAATCTACAGCTAAAATGGTTTACTCTATGATTGAGGCTCATCCGAGATATGGAATTGCCTTTTGGGGATTTTGTAGTCAACAATTACTACAATCAGTGTTCGTCCTATAAAAAAGGGCAGTTATTCTAGAGTCTGTGTGTCAAAAAATTTGATACAGTTGATATCCCAAAACCAAGCAGTTAAATGAAATATGTCACAAGGCAAATATTGGAAAATAAAATACCTCTTCCTATTCCGAAATCTACTTTGACAAAGGACTCTCTGATTTATGAAAGTAAATGCGTGTATATTTTTCAATAAATCAATAGATTATGCATGCAAACAATGACAAAATGTTTGGTTTTTTGATTTTTATCAATTCACCATTATGAAGGTTACTTTCAATAACATAACTGACCTCCGATATAGATTTTAACATTGAACTCAATAATGGCGGTCAACTTGTGTTTTACCTTGCAAGTAAAATATAGAGAATAAGGTAGACACGTTCAATTAAATTTGTTTGAATTGTAGAGAGGTATATTACAAATTCTCGGTCGTGTCGGTTTTCAGCGAATTGGACACAAATGAGCTGAAATAGTTTTGTCGTTTTAGAAAATTGACATGTGTTTTTGAATAAACGTCACAGAGGTTTAATAAATTTCAGTTAATTTTGTGTTAGAAATATTGGCAAATTGGTTGATAGCAGATGATAATATTTTTTCTTTGATCTTCATGT